CATCTTTGTAAGCAGTCCTTTCATTCAGCTCTCCTCAGATTACCCAATGAGCATGCATATTTCCTGCTGGACCCCTATTAGAAACCCTGACCAATACACCTCATTTTGCCAATGTGGAAACTGAGGTACAGAGAGGACCAGGCTTACCCTAGGTAACACAATGAGTTTATGACAGGGCTGGCTCCAGAACTCAAGTATTCTGTCTAGTAAGATTTTTGCCACCTTTCTATATTCTTTTTCTGCCCCTGCCTAACCACAGTACACATCGCTTTTTATTTGGGCCACACCATAAACAATGGTGCCACTGGGGCCCCTGCGAGATATGGTAATGTCAACTCAAGGGTAACGCTCCCCTCCTCAGCACCTTCTAGATGTTGGGGCACCCCCTCCAGGCTGCTCTGAGGTCTGGGACACTTTCCTCTGGTCTATCTGCCCTCAGGCAACAGTGCACCTTTTAGTGAAAACGATGAACCCCAGGCCCTCTTCGGCCATAATCAAATCCCAACCAAATCAACAGACTGGGGGTTTCAATTTTCACCAAAAGTCTCTCTTTTTCCACAAGTCTTTCATTATAGATGATAATTATTTAGTCAATAAATTTCTATTCCAGCTTCTACAGGCCAGGGACTAGGCTGGGCACTGCAGTTAGTCTAGTGGGGGATGTAAAGAGCCAACTGCAACTAAGGGTGTTATGAAATAAGATTTACAAAGCTGGGGATGAAAGACTGACTCCTCCGTCCCCTCCCTTCTTCACCTCCCCAAGTGACCAGTGAGGTCCAGAGGAACAACTCCAAGCCCTCTGAGCTGCTCAGGAAGGGCCCAGCCCACCTTTCTGCCAAGACCCATGGGAGCCCTGGCACTGCAAGAGGTAGACCTTGCGCGTGGACAGTCTGCCATAATCAGCCCAGCCCAGCAGATCAAGTCAGTATTCCCTCTGATTGCCAGGGCCTCTCCTCCAGAACAGTCCTACGAGGGGCTGACCACATGCTCTCCCTTGGCCTAAGACACTGGCGCACAGGCATGCACACCCTTTCCCTGAGACAAGATCCTCTCCCTGGGCTCCCAGACACTTGGCCATCCATCACCTGCTCAGGGCTTTGTGGCCTATTCTTGGCAAGTCATTCTATCCCACAGGAGTGGGAACCCAAGGAAACTGCCAAGTCCACGTTTACCTGGCCTGAATCCAAGTCATCAGCAAATTCTATTTCCACTGCCACCTTGAGATGGAACAGGCAATCACCCAAAAAGGCTCCCCAAAGGTCAAAATGAGGCCAGGAATTGGAAAGGGGCTGGGAGGAGAGGGATAGGGTTGCTCTGCTATAGACCTCTCAGAACTGCCCTATCCCACCCCTTCCAAGAGGGGAATAAAGCATGAGCCCAGGGCTAAATCAAGAGAAAACTGGCCTCAGGATCTGAGTGAACATGTGGGCTAGGGATTGAAAGACCTGGATCTCTACCCAAGCCTGCCGCTGAGCCCTTCCCCATCCAGGCCTCTTCCGTAAAAGGAAGGGTGGGTCGGATGAGCCTTAGTGCTCTAAGTGATGTGACTCTGCATGTTTTCTGGGAAAAAGGAAGAGCAATGGCCTAAACCCTGGCACTGCACTCCAGACAACCAGAATCCCATAATGCCCTTCGTTAAACAGAGCCGCAAGGAGGAAACCTAGCCCAGCCCAACCCTCAGCCTGTCTCACTGTTGGAAGAAGCTGCTCTGAGGAGCTGGCCCAGCACATCCCCAAAGGAGTCAAGATCTCCAACCCATGGCAGATGCCCCCTCTCCCAGCTTCCCCTCCCTTCTCCATGCTTTTGAGCCTGAATGATCTAGAACTACACTGTTCAATCTGGTAGCCACATGTGGCTATTTAAACCTCAGTTCATCAAAATCAAATAAAATTTAAAATTCAGATCCTCAGTTACACTAGTCACACTTCATGGGTTCAATGGCCACCCAGGGCCAGCGGCTGGCTACTGCATTGGAAGAGCAGATACAGAACATTTCCATCATCACACAGAGCACTTTTAGACAATGCTAGTCTGGAGGCTAGTCCCTGTTCTTGCAAAGTGCTTCCTCTAGCTTCCCTAATGCCCTCCTGCTACAAAGTAAGCCCACTCTCTCCAGTCCATGGGGTGGGGGTTCCTGTCTACCCAGGACACTTTGGTCACCCACCAAATCAGAGAAAGACACAGTCCAGCCAACAATGATCCAGCGCCTGAAAGAAGTTACTAACAGACATTAAGTTTCAAGAAATAGCAATGTTCACTCAGCATCCCTTAGCCAGCCTTCTCCTTCGTCAAGTGGTCTGTCCCTTGCTAAGTCCCATCCTTCAAGGAAGCTAAGCCTAGGGAGGGGGCAGAGGAGAGCCAGAGAACGTGTGTGGGGCCCCAGGATTGTGGAGATTTCTGCTGGTGTGACTACAGGAAGCTCAGAAAAACCCCCAGCAATCATTTTGGAGCCCTCCATCTTCCCAGAAATTATTCATATAAATGGCTGGGGAAGCCCCACAAGGGGTTAAAAACCAATAAAATGCCTTCTCTGATAGCATAGAAGCCTGGCGGGGGGGGGGGGCAGACAGCTAAATGGGTTATCCAGAAATTATAAGAGGCTTTTAAAAGTAGAAAACTTAGCATATGTCAGGCCTATAATGTATAGACAATAATTATTTTCCACTGGATTTTTGTATTTAATTTTGTGGTGACTACCTCCTTTTACATCATGTATTCAGCAGTCAGTCTTCTTCTTGCTTAATATGCACAGCAATCCTCCCCCTATGTCACATATTCAATAATTCCTCTCCTCCGGTTCCAGGGGCGTACGATGAGGGAAATGTCACATTTTAAATTAGTAACAGCTGTGTTTTTGTTTTTCAATTTCACCTCCACTGATGCCCTGTAAGTATCATGAGCTCCAAAAAGCAACACAGGGCTCCTTGTCTGTCCTGGTCCTCAACTCAGAGGCCTTTTTTATGGGGTTTTTTTTGTTAATCCTCACCTGAGGGTATTTTTTTCCATTGATTTTTAGGGAGAGTGGGAGGCAGGGAGGGGAAAGAGAGAAACATCAATGCGAGAGAGACACATCGATGGGTTGCCTCCTATACGCACTTATTGGGGGCGGGGGATCCAACCCTTCAGTCTGCAGGCGGACGCTCTAACCACCGAGCAAACCAGTCAGGGCTCAGAGGCCTTTCTGAGAGCTTTTCTCTGAGGACAGGACATGCCTCAGGAACCTAATAGACCAGAGAAGGGAGCGCTGAGCAACTGGCCAGGCCCATCCCAGCCAAGGACGGACACGAGGCTCTTCCTACTATAACATCTGTTAGGAGTGGGCTCCACTCAGGCTCACGTAGACAACCACCCACCGATTCTGTTTGTTCCTATCTGTGGGCCTCTGGGTCTTAACTCCCAGGCATTGCCTTTGCTTCCCCCTAGGATATGAAGGAGTGGACAGCAGTCAGGAAAGGAAGGCCAGGACTTGGGTGAGGTAGGTGGGGCACCTAAGGGATAAAAATTTAAGGAGGCGCTGGTTCCCAGGTGCCAGCTTTGCACTTGCAGGCGCCGAGAGCCAGAGCCTCCTTACATTTTTTCTGCCCAGGTGCTTTGCTAGTCTCACCCAGGCCCTGCCCTTCAGAAGGACCAACCCCTGGGAGGTCTGGGAGTCAGAAGCCCAGAGAGAGGGAAGGTGGGGCACTCAACACCAAGAAGAACTAGTGGCTCAGGAAGGGAGTTCATTAAAATGCTTCAAGGGACTCAGAAACACCAGAGTGTTGTTGTTTTTAAGACAGAGAGGAATTTGGCAAGAAATCAATCAATACACATGCTGATAACTTATTCCTTGACAAAAAAAGAAACAAAACCCTGTAAAATTTTGCAGCCTTTGGGTAGCCAGTGTCTACTGCCACTAATTAATTTTCCAGAACTTTCATTCACCAGATATCTCAAAACATGGTCTGTCGGCCCCAGCAGGCATTGCCAACATCTGCTGTAGGGTTTGGTGATTCTGGAACCTATACCACAAAGGGAGGAGGGGCCCCGAGGGGCACACAGCAAGCTCTGGGGACTTCAGCACCAGCCCCCACCCTGACTGCTCTGCTCCCACACCCCTGTGCCTGTTCAGCCAAGAGGAACAGCACTGGAGAGTACAGAACGGTGTGTGCCCCAGGGATGGACGCGAACTCACACACACACACCCCTCCTGCCTCAGTTTTCCAAAATGCAAAATAAAGAGATTGTACACAATCCGGTTTCAGATTCCTGAGCCTGTGTTGCCCTGCTGAGCATTAAAGCCATGTGGGTCCTTGTGTAGTCTGTAGACTCCTTGAGGGCAAGGACTGGGTCTCACTCATTCTGCCCCCTGCCCCCCTTCCCAAAAGCACAGTGCCTAACAGTCTTACACACAAAACATGCCCAATGAAGGCCTGCCGGGTTTACCTGCAGCCTCCTCCTCTGGGGGTCCCAGCCTGTCTGCCATCCCCAGACCAAGGAAGTTTCCCAAGCCCTTACTGCTGCGGTCTTGGGACCCAGGAACCTTGCTCCTGAGAGTCCCTTCTACCTGCCAACTGTACAAGCTCATTCATATCTCCCCAAAGGAGCAAATAAAGACATGAGACTTGATCCTGTAAAGTTAGCTCCACAGGTGAAAACTCCAGGTGAAAACCCAAGAGCGTCTATAGGTTGCAGGCTTCTTCTATAACCCGAGCCCCACAGGAACAAGCGAGCTAGTGTCAGCCAGGACCCTCCCCTGACCCGAGTATTCTGAGATGATGTTAAGGAACTACAACATTCCCCAAGATTCCAGAACAAATCAGCCAGCGGTGAGGTCCCAGGCAGCAGCAGCACCGCCGGTCAGGAGCTGAGATTTGGCTCACCTTCTTGAGTGGCCTCCTTTGGGAAGTGACCTGATGGGAGGCAGACCCTCCATGTCCCTTCTCAGAGCACCTGAACCCCTCCCACAACCCCTCTCCAAGCCCCAAGGGCTGCTTTTCTCCTTCAGGTGAGCCCTCACTCACCTCACAGGCAGCGGGGCCACATCTCATCTTGCTCCTCAGCATGGCTTGTAGTTGCCTTTTATATTCATTTATTTTTTTCTGTTTCCTCAAACAGTATGTGCCTAGAATGAATACCAGGCTCTCTCTGGCAGAAAAAAGGAGTGTGGAGGGGAAACGTGAAAGCAGTAATCCATTGTAACACTTTAGGGGAAACTGCAAGCAATTTCCATTCTATTGATCCTCCCTGGGCATCAAAGCCACACTGAGTTTATTTGGAAAATTAAATTCTGGAGCATGTAGCACGAGAGGCCTCTAGTTAAGTTGTCTAGCTCTACGGCCACAATTTAATTACAATCTCACTCTCACTCTCCATTTAAATACAGTAGAGGAATGGCCACTGCGGAGGCTCCCTGGTCCCAGCCTCTGCTTGGCCTCGGTGCCTGGCCATTACCCCATGCCCACAGCGGAACAGCCCTGTGAATCTCAATTACCCTCAGCTGAGCACTCATCAGCAACTCCCACTGCGGCTCATTTACATTTTAACGCATGTGATTCTTAACAGAATATATTCATTAAAATGTAAATATTTACTGAATTAACCTAATATGTGTAGCTTGCTCCTTGACCAAATGTAAGGTTTTGATCTTAACAAACATTGTTATTATTAAAAACAAAGTGACATATTACCGAGGCACAAATTGGTACAATGTGTTAGATACAATAGCGAAACAAAACCAATTTTACCATGAGCTAATTGATATAAACAAGAGTTAAGTTCCTACAGTATCTCATAAACATTATAATGAATGTTACACTTTTCATTTGGGGGAGAAGCTGATAATCAAAGTCTATCTGATTTCAGCGCTGCATGTTGTTCTTAGGCTTCGGAGGTTCACAGATAAGTAAAAGTTATGCACAGTGGTGCACACTTGCACGCACACGTGCACACTCATGTACATTAGAGGGCCCCACAGAGATTGGCCAACTTTTTATTCAGCTACCTAAGGACTTTGCAGTCATCTTCTTTTATCTTCTATTATCATCCCAATTTCATGAGCACCTACATGGCTAGAGGATGAAAGTTTTAGAATAAAAGAAATCCTTAATAGTGCATAAATTTAGCTTCATGAAGAACTCACTACATTGTTTTCATTTTCCTGATCTCATCTGTGAAAACCTGGTCAGAGTCTAGCGCAGGTCCACAGGTCACCCTTGGGAACCACCCTTGGGAATCACCATAGAGTGATTTTTTTCTTAATTAAATTTGTATTTAGGGCTGATGCTGGGAGAGGGGTGTGACCTCTGCTTGGGGCTGCTCATCAGAGCAGAGGCCACTTTCGCAATGGTCAAGAGGAACCGAACTTGTACCCTCTGGGTTCCTCCAATGCTGACCCATTTGCCCCAAAACAAGGTAGAGTTCCATTGAAGTTCTCCCGGAGAAATGTCCTCTTTGGCAACCAGCCAGGCCTCCTTCCCTAAGCCCCACAAAGCCAGCACAGAGCCTGGCGCATAGCAGAATCTCACTTAACAGTTGCTGAACTCCACTGAAAAGTCACTGGACAGTGCTCTCACCCACAAAGGAACCTCCTAGCCCCCAATCTCCCCCCCCCCACCTCCTCTACTGCAAGGTAGCTGGCTAAGGACAGCCAGCATGCAGAACAGGGAGGAAGGTAGTCAAGTCTTTCATTGATCTCAGACTCAAAGGCAAACAGAGTCTGCCATTCCTCATCACCCCACCCCCTCCATGAGCTTGCTCCCCAGACTCTCACTGGTCCTGAGATTCCTTTGAAACAAGTGAAGTCCCACCTATTTGTAGGTGCCAGGGGTGAGAATGAATGGTAGATAGAGCCGGCAACGCTTGATCCACCAGGCCCTCTCCACAAGGAACATCAGCAGTATTTACAAGCTGACCAGCTCTCCAGAGAACAGAACTGTCATTAAGCCAAGTGGGAAATCATTACCTGATCTATAAATGATTACAGGAAGCAGGAACTGTCACTGCCTTCTGAGGAGTTTGCAGAATTGGGATTTTAAACAGACCTGCAAACTGGCACAACACTCAGCTCCCTGGAGCGGCTGGTATATTATTCACAGGGGGGGAAAGGCAGAAGTTAAGGCACTTTATGAGCTCAGGGGGAAAGAGCAGGTCTCGGGGACTCTGGCTATCAAAGGATTTCAGACCATCCACAGTGTCAGCCAGAAACTTAACTCAAAGGAAAACATAACTATTCAGATCTTCTGCCTGACATTTTGGAGGTCTGCAACTCGATGAGTTCTTTCCACCGGCAAAATAAGCAACTAGAGTCAGAGCTGCAGGCAACTCAGGTCATTTAATCAAAGACACTTCTTTTACACAGATGGAGACTCCATTCAGTCTACCCGGATGAAGCTAGTGTGGTAGAGGGGCAATGGTGACATCCTTAGGTGCCCCCAGCCCATCACTGGGAGAATGGATGAGTAACAGGTAGGGAAAATACACTACAGAGAACTCGGCATCAGAAGAAACCATGTACCTGGATGTATCTCAAGTAATACAGTAGATCTCAAACCATGGTGTTGAGAAAAGTGGGGAGTAGAAGGTTTGTTGCACACTAAAATGTATGTAAATTTAAAACACATACACAGAATGGCACTATATATTTTATAATGATACATGTATATTTTAGAACATATTCCAAACACATTAGAATGGAAGAGTACAGGGAGTTGAGTTAATTACACTTAGTTAATAGCTCATTGTCACCACCAGGCTTTGTATGGCCTTTCTTAGTGTATTTTCTTCTTTCCCCCCTCACTCTTATGAC